AAATAAATTTGACTCTTCTTTTCCTTCTGATACAAATGATGCCACGATGAGATCATCATTAGCGTGGGGAAGTTGTACCAATTGGGAATGACAAGGAAACACGGAGATCACTTGAAATGTGTAGTTAAAACCAATTTTAAAGTCAAAGAACCAGTCCCAGCTACATGGAGAATTCCTGTACACAGGACGAAATAATCGTTTTAAAACTGGATCATAACCAATGTAGCAGTAGCCACCTATAACATATTAAAGTCATACATTTCATAAGGCAGAGATATTTTTTTAAATGTGTATGTGTAAGTCATTACGTGAGAAATAGAGAGAGAGATTATTTTTTACAAAATACGTACCATCCATTTTCGTTTTGGCAACAATCACCATTGTCACAGTGTAAGGTTGCTAAACAGAAAATAAAAACAACAAAGTTAAAAAAATAAAAATAAAAAAGTTGTAAACATAAAAATTGTAAAAGTTGATACTTTTTTTTTCATTTAAAGATAAAAATAACTTAATAATAAAAATAAAAAAAAATAAATTATAAAAAGTTTAAGCAGTTTAAGTTAAAAACAATACAAAATTTAACTTAATAACCGCTTCAATCAAAAATTATAAAACTTAATGTATATTTGTAGTTTTCAAAGAAATATTATGCGATTATATATGCAAATATCTATCTAAAACTAGGAAAAATTTAAATGAAAAACAATCACATGTCTGCTGTTTTTTCTTATGTATATCCAACGTTAAGGCATATATGAGGAAATATATATTTGTATAAAATGTTATATTTCTTGATTTGCTTTTGAAACAAAAGCAAATCAAGAAATATAACATTTTTTTTTTTCGTAAAAATATTATTGAAATTAAGGTAACATGTTGTACAATAATTCCTTGTCACTCCGTATTCAAGGTAAAAGCAAAAGCGTTACTGGTATAAGATTGTTCGACGTGAAATATCAGTATTTTCTGTTGACGTTGTAAAAGGACCACAACTCGATATTGCTTGTCAACTTTTAGAGCAGTTGTCTTTTTGACAACTTATTTTATTGATGCCCACAATTCAAAATATAGCAAAAAATATCTTTTATAACCATGACAATTTATTTCGCTTTTGAGATTGCCATGGTTGGTACCATTTCTTTTTTACCAATTTGATTAAACTTCTACGATATGTTAGTCTGACTTGGCTCTTATATTGTTTTTAAAGGATGCACTGGAATTCATTTTGTTTTTTAAAGCCCAATAATAATTTTTTTAACAACCAAAAAAATATAGCAAATAATACTCTAAAACGTCTTTTACATGCAGAGGTGATTCTACAAATAAAAAGAGGGTGTGTGAATTCTCAAAAAGTATCAACTGCCTTCTTGAAAAAAAAAAAAAAGGTCCTTAAAACGAAAATTTAACCGACTGAATAGTGTCAAATACCTTACTAAGCAAATAAATTCGAAAAACCGACTATAACTTAAAAATCACCTGAGGGGGGGGGGGGGGGAAGAAGAGGTGTAACACCTTACAAACACACACACCCGTAAAATTGCGTAAAACAGAAACGTGTTTAATAAGAAAAAAATATGGTTGCATCGTTAATAATCATGTTTTTTCTGATTAAACACGTTTCTGTTTTATTGCTTATAATAATAATAAGTCTTAAAGTTATAAAAAAATTAAAAATAGACAAGATTTGTATAGTAAAATTAGAAAATTTGTAAAGAGTTGTTAGTGAATTTTTATATAAAAAGCAAAATTTTTTTCAGTGGTTTGGTAGTTTCTAATTTTCTTTGTTTAATTGTTATAGTATTTGTAAAAACTTTTTTGAATCAAATGCCATTTATGTAAGATATTCAATGTAAAAAATTTAAATTAATAATAGACTTTAAAAATGAAAATAAGAAAGAGAGAATTAGTGTCTGTTGACAAAGGTAGTGATTCTTCCAGCTCTCATAAGCCTAAAAAAAGCTGCGAGAATACCAGAATGAGGAATAATTTTTTAGTTGGAAAGTCTGGAAAAATGACGTCAGCTATGTTTCCTCTCAGGATTAATATTTTGAAGCACTTGGTACATCTCCGGGAAAAGAAGCCACAAAACAAAATATTGATTCACTGATATCTTGCCACCCTGTGTTTAGGCCGAGATCGAGCCGTGTTGGACCGACATCGTTACATCGGTTAATCATCGGCTAGATTTATAATATCGGCTAAACGTTGGCTTGATGTCTGTTGGCCGCCATATAAGTACATTTCTCGGCTAACAAACAAATAACTAGAGATGGTCGGACATAGGCCACATTGTGTCCGATGTGCGACCGAGTCAAAAAAGTTTTACAGGATGATTGATCGGTTTGAATTGAAAAATTTTCAACAAAACATTCTTCAATTTTTCAACAAAACATTCTTCAATCAGAACCGAAATGTTCGGTTCTGATTGAAGAATGTTTTGTCTGATCTCCGCCATTGTCAGACTTTTTTATGGCCGCCGTGTTCAGCGTCCGACCGGGCCGGCATTTCTGGGCCAAATCGATTAAAATTGATTGACTTTTCAGAAAATGTTCGACTGTTCGGTTGTACGACTTGTTCAGCATTATTATCTCTCTTGAATTTATTCCATTTTAATCCAAATTATTCACTACAGCTTTAAATTATTTGAAGACTTCTAAAAGTTTCATTCTCCTCGGACTACAGGATATTGGTTAATCGAAGCATTTAATTTTTTCTAACACCGATGCAGTGGTTTTCATAATTTAAAGTTTAGTTGTTTGAAATCAGCGTAAAAAACTGCATAAGAAAAAACTTATTTTGATTATCAAATTCAAACATGACCAAAAGCAAAGAAGATATAATAAATATCCTATTTGCTTTGGTTGTAAACAAAAAATTAATTTTTAAAAAATTTTTTAATTGAATTTTTCTTTTATATCATATTAAATATATATTACAAAAAATTTATACTTTTATTGAATTTATTAAAAAAAACTTTTCTTTTGTAAATATCTACTTTGTGTTTTAACTTTACATGTTGTCAAATTCGATTTAGTTACACATTTTCGAGAACTTTTTACACAAAAATACAAAATGGCGCTTGTTATATAAGAGATCTATGAGACTTCAGATGAAGTCATTGAACTTAATGCAATTTTAAATGAACAAATTTCCAGTGGTTCTGTTCTTTTGAAAGCGAAAACTACTGGTGTAGGCAAGTCAAAAGTTTGGATGAATTTTTCTTTGCTCCTCAAATTACATGCCACCAAACCTGTCAAAAATATTGCAGTTTGTAACATTTGTAAAAAAGCTGTTCACCAAAAGCTAAGTAGCACTACTACACCCCCAAGTGAACGAATGAATTCCATTGCAAAGTTGATTACTAATGACAGGAGAGAATCTTGCACCAGAAACAATTGAAGCCTTGATGCTACTGTCATTTTTTATTTTTCATTTTTTTGCATGTTCGACGTCCAACCGCGTTCGAGATTTTTAGTTCAATGACTGTTTGGTGATCGATCGGTGTTCGGTTCGACATTAGTTTTTCTGTCCGGTGTTTGGGGTGTCCGAGTTGTCCGGGTTGTTTGACAAAATTATTGTTGCTCGTGTTCGACCGGTTCGGTGGTTCGGACCGTACGAACACGGGCGAACAGAAAAACGTCAATCAGTCCGACCTTATATATATATATATATATATATATATATATATAGGTACCCTCGTATGCGTCCGTTTTTTTATTTTGACATCGCTTTTATAAAGTTTCTGAATTTCCGTGTTTTTCCAAACTACGCTATATGCATAAAGGAAAGAGTGTTTAAAAGCTAGCTAAAAAATAAAGTGTCAATTTTTGTTATATTTTTTCGTTTAAAGTGAAGGTTAAACTTGTTTATAGTTATACAATTTTCAAAAAATTGCGATTTTTTCACTGTTAAGGAATCCTGCCAAAATAGGTAATTTTCATATAAAGAATTTAATATGCCAATACAAATGCTCATAAATGATTTTGACATGCTCAAATAAATTCTTCATAGATCTTTCATTTGATATATAATAACCGATACTTTAAAATCTCCTTCATGTTTAAAAAAGATGCATACAGTTGCTACCGCAAAATAATGTGTTGATTATAGCGCCATTTTTTAAAATTATTTTCATTGTTGCTTTGTATTTTTCTTTACTTTAGATGGACCACAAGACTGCAAAAGATATTTGCGTTTTAATTAATTCATATAAATGCCAATCGAAGCCTTTGTTAAATGGTGACATTTACAAAAATTTTTCTGAAAATAATTTCAAATTATCAAAAACTTGTCTGAAATTAAAAAAACTGAACATTGGACCTCAAAATGCATCTGATTTTAAAATATTCTCCAACAATATAAGATACTTGCATAAAAAGATAAAAATCTTTAAAATAAACCCTACCCAGTCATGGGCTGCTATTGTTAATTTTTTGCAGCAACCATTTAAATATGAAAGAAAAAGAAATAGTTCTAATACAATTATTCACTTAAACGTTGCAAGTGATTTAAATATTGCTTCAGACACAATGCAGAGAGTAAAGTGTGGTTCATGCAAAATAAAAAAAGATGAAATACGTAGTTTACAAGAAAAAAACAGAAAATTGCAGCAGAGAGTTCGTTTTTTGAAAAAATCAATGACCTGTAACAAGCTTACAAACAAAAAATTTAAAAGACAGTATTTTTCACTAAATTTGTGGAAATTGAAATATTCAGAAGAAAAAAAAAAAAAACAGTTCAACAGAATAAGTTTCATTCTCTAGATTTCATTAATGAATTGAGAATTCTTAAAATTAGTAGAACGAAGTTGCAACAAAATGTTAAAAAGATAGAAAAAAAACACAAAATTGCAATCAAAGAATTACAGGAACAGATAAAAATCAAAGAGCAAGAAAATAAACAACTTGTAGAACAAAATCATTATTTAACTAGTATTGTTTTAGAAAAAAAAAAAGATAATAGGTTACTTATAGAAACCAAAAAACTAAAAACATATACCCATAAGAAAATGTGTTTATGCTGCTATTATTAACAATGTGCCTGTGGAAAGCGTCTCATTTTTGTTAGAAAAAATTTCTGAACTGTTACACAACACAGAACTGCAAGAAACACCTCACTCATCCACAGTAAATCGAATGGCATATGAGCCAGGTGTTTTAGCATTGGTTCAGGCTGGTGAGGCACTTTTTCATTGTGAATGTGCAACAGTAGTGTTTGATGCAACCACCGTTTTAGACAAACATGTAAATGAGTTTCTTATCAGTACCTATCCTCCGCAGAGATGTTATTCCTTATCAACCGCTAAACTTGCTGGAGGCACAGGATTTGACTGTGCCACTCATATTGTCAGTGTAATAAAAGAACTTGCCAATACATTTGCAGAGTTTAAAAATATGCCAGCAGTAGAAGTTTTAGATGTTTTCACTCAAAAAACCAAAAGTTGTCTGTCCGACAGAGCGCCTGTTAATAGTTGTGTGAAAAACATGCTTCAGGAAGAGATGGACATTCAATTAATGCAACTGTACTGCAATGTTCATCCATTGGAAACTATTGCCTTAAAAGCATTATTAGCTCTTAAAACAATAGATAATGAGTTGAATATAAAACCAGCTAAAGGAACTGATGGGGTTGCAGTAACAGTCCTCAAAAATATTTCTAAGCTAAGGTAATCTTTTATATGTATATCTTTCATTATTTAAATTTTTTTTTAGTTTTATTTTCTTGTGAGCAATTATTTCTTTATTATTTCCACATTTTGAAAATTTGAAATTTTAATTTTTTTGCTCTTTAAAAATCAGGTATAGTTTTAAAGCCGATCCTGCAGCATTCAAAAGCTATCTTAAAAAAAACAATGTTGCTCCAGGGCTATTCCTTAGATATGTTGGTAGTAGATTTCATGTTTTGTTCCATATGGCAGGGATTGTTGTTACATACGAAAGACTTATAAAAACCTTTCTTGAAAAGTAAGTTTTTTTTAGATGAATATTTGTTTTAATAGAATTCTATGTATTAACATTTTCTCGTTATTCTAGCAACACCAAAAATAAAATTTGCCAACTCTTACTTCAAGATATGAGTAATGATATAACGCTTGTGCAACTGCAAGGGTTGGGCCTGATAGGAAAAATAATAACTGGGCCATGGATGAGTCTGGTTTATAAAAATGCAACAGGAAAGAGTAATCTTGAGTTTGTAAGTTTTTAAGGTTTTCTAATAAACAAATAAAGTAGTTTAAAAAATGTACAAAAATTATTTTTTTAATAGGGTGACATTTTCCAGAAAGCAATAAGGAAATTAGCTTACTTCAAAAGTAATCCAGAATCAATTCTTTATACAGATGTGGATATTTTTAGTCAAGTATTAAATATCAAAAAAGATAAGATACACCAATCCCTTCGTGTAATAAAAAATAAAAATATTTTGGTAAAGATTTTATCAGCTTTAATAAACTACACAGAGACAGTTCTCAAAAGACAGATGGCCAGGTATTTGACTGGCAATCTCTCAAATCCATCTAAAGAAATGATGAAAACCACACTATCTACTCCACCTCATACAATGGAGGCTGAAAGGATCTTGGGCATGCTTGATTTTTTTTTGCGTCGTGCTCCTAATGCTACTTTTGGTTTTCTGGATTCTAAAATAAAAGCCAGGGTAAACAAAACATTAACATGGCTTGATGAGAAAACATTGCCAGAACAAGAAGATCTTATTCAATTTGTAATTCGCAGAGGAGCTTTAACGTGTCAAGCCTCTAAAAATTTTAATAATCTTTTGTATGAAGAAATAGGAAAAAGATGCGCCAAAGCTAATTCAAAAAAAGAGCGTCTGGAAAGAAAGCGACTAGAGAAGGATATTAAAAGAGCAATAGCTGAAAATGCCAAAACCACAAATCCTCTTTTTGTTAATATTGATGAAAAACAAAAACGAATTTTAAGAGTAATTTTGAAAAATGGAAACTTGATAGGGCAGCTCTTAAGCCATAAATGGGAGCTAGATGATGGTAATATACATTTATTTTTTGGTAGAATTGTTGATCAAAAGGTAGCAACAAAAAAAAATCTTTTACATACACAATAGGATATTGGAAAGTCAATGAAGATGAAGCTGAAGATATTGACATAAGCCAGGAAGGAGTTATAGCAGATCTAATACTTAAAGAGTTGGAGTTCATTTAAAAATTACTATAATATATTAGGCATTATTATCTTTTATTTTGTTTAAGTTGATTATTTTGTATACATTTTTATTTATTCCTTTTAGTTTTTAAATATTTTTGTATTAACCAAGAGCAGGCACAGGGTTATTTTACATTTCAGATACTGTACTTGGCATTGTGAAAACTCTAAGTATAAGTATGTTCAATCATGTGTCAAATAAGAATGATTTGCTAAAAAATTGTGGTAAATAAAATTTAGGAACAAAACTATCTAAAAAAGATAGAACCCCTCTGTCTCAAATGTTAATTTAATGAGTAAATAAGTTTTTAAGTTTATTATTCAAAACTAAATTTAAATTCACATTTTTTAATGCTCAAAGGTTATGACCATGTGAAATAACTTAAAAAAATAACTTTAAACATATCAAGAATTATTGGGTCTGTTGATAGATTTTAATGTATTATAAAATAATAAGTAAATGTATTTTAATAACTTGGTCCCCTCACATTTTTATGTGGGGCACAAACTTTTTGGGGTATTTTTGTTCCCAGGCTCCAATCACTTTAATTTTTTATACAATTTTTTTTCACATTCTCATTAGATTTAAGCATGAACAAACTTAAACTTAGATTAGTTATGGTAATTTTTTTTAATAAAATGACTAGAATCGAATTTGACCCCCTTTTAAAATGGGCTTAAATACCCCCCCTCTCTTTTTTTTTTTTTTTTTAATTTAATTTATATAAGTGGGATATAATAAACAGTTTTTATCATATATGTGACAGTAAATTGTTAATATTTTATGAACTACGTTATAAAGTCCACTTTTTGAAGTCATTTTCTTGTGTATCTTTGTTAAGATGTCCACTTTATTTTCTCTACCTTCAAAATTGAATATCTTTTTTTATAGTTGACCCCAGATAATAAATTTGGTATAAAAATTTGTCATTTAATAATCTCTATATAATAGAATTAATTTGGTTTAAAAAATAAAAGTTTAAATTTTTTATGAAGGTACCTATATATATATATATATATATATATATATATATATATATATATATATATATATATATATATATATATATATATATATATATATATATATATAACATAACTAAAACAAAACTCATCAAACTAAAATGCTTAGTCTATTTAATTTACGCATTAAAAAACCTTTTCATCTTTGTTTCAACATTTTTATATATTTTTTATTTATTTAATATGTTCAAAAGTTAAATATTTCTCATAAAAAATACATAGCTATATAAATAAAATAAAAAAATATTTTATTAATACTTTTTTTAAAATTAGTTAAAAGCGTTTTTTTTTTTTCTCCAGTAAAAAGTTTCGATAATATAAAAGCATTTAAGATCAAACTTATTAAATTGTAACGGTTTTCTAAAACTTTTTTTTTTCAACGAAATTTTGTTTATCTTTTTAAATGCATGAACTTTAATCATTCTTATATTTAATTCGTTAAAGAGACTTTCGTAGTCGTAGAATGTCATCGTTTTTAAAAACAAAACAATTTTTTATTTTCTAATAAGATTTACTTTAGAAATGAACACTTTAACAATTTATATGTTTAAAATTAAAAAAATATATACAACTGTCAATTACATTTAAAAAACAAAACTTTTTTTCAGTAAATTGTTACTTTATTTAAAATCGTTTCACTAATATTGATGTAATTAATTTCACTTTTTTAGAATATTTTTTATTTCGCGCATTTCTAAAACGTTTTTTAAATTAGCCGCGGTCAAACCGTCATAGCAAAATGTAACTTGCGTGGTCATATAAAGACTTGAAATCTTCCTGAGGAAGCCTGTATATATATATATATATATATATATATATATATATATATATATATATATATATATATATATATATATATATATATATATATATATATATGTATATATATATATATATATATATATATATATATATATATATATATATATATATATATATATATATATATATATATATATATATATATATATATATATATATATATACAATAAACAATTCATACAGCAGTTGTATAATTTTAGTCTAAATAAAATCTTTAAATATTGAAACATTTAGATTAAAGTTGAACACAGCCTCATCTTAGTGTTGTCAAAAAATGTTTTTATGTTTAAATAAAATTGATTGCTGTCTACCATACAGTTATATTAAAAACCTTCTAGCATACTGCAGAGGGTAGTTAAGAATTGAAATGTACATATGTTAAAAAAAAATATGTTCATATAACTAATACTATTAGTAAACCTATTAGTAATAAGTTTACTTTGTTAAAAAATGTAACATTGTTTGTAAACAGTATAACTAAGTAACATTTTGAAAACATTTGGAATATATAAGTATAAAAATAACAGTTTATGGCATTTAGTGTTTGTATTTTTCATATATTTTGAACAATAAAAATAACACTGAATAATATTTTTTTGATTTAAAACATACTAAAAATACAAACATTAAAAATGCCATAAAAAGCAATTTTTATACCTATAAATTTCATCGTTTTTACAAAAATCCATTTTTTTTAAATAAGATTTAAAATAAGATAACCATCATTACAAAAGCATTATTCTTTACGAATTCTTCAAAACGTCTTAAAGTTAATGTTTATAAATCTGGCTGTACTAGACATCCCAGAATCCCCGTTTGCTAAATTACAACAAAACTTTCAAGTCGTACACCACTGACCTACATTCATCCGATATTGTTCAGTTTTTTATTGCAGAATTTGAATAAAAAATCGAACTCATTCATTTTTAATTTTAAAAATGGCATCGAAGCGTTGTGATAGGAGAGGAGCAAGTTTTAAGTTGTCAACTTTTTTCACTACAATAATTGGTAAATTTATATTGATTAATTCATTAATAAATTGAATAATGAATTAATAAAAATTTAACTAAATAGATTCATTAAATCAAAAATTCATTTCCTAATATTATAAAATAAATTAATATTATTATATTATAAATTGAACTTGATGATTTAAAAATTAAATATAACTGTTGTTGTTTGTATTCCTAATACAAAATTGTTATAAAATATATTGTAACAAAAGAATATATGTATAATAATAAGAATAAGAATATATTTTAGCTTTTTTTTATATACCTAACAAAATGTTTTTGTAATGCTAATTTTAGTTTATTAACGTTAATAAACTAAAACTAGCATCACAAAAATATAGTTATATCTATAATGGAATTTAATATTTTTTAGGTGATAATCGTACTGCACAAGCAAATGGTAACAGCCCTTTAAACTTGATTTTTCTTCATTTAATGTCTGTTGTGATAACAATTAAAGCTATTTAAAATAAGAATGTAATTTAAATTGCATTCTTGTGCTTGTATTCAACGTATTCAATTGCAAATATTTGTGATTTTTATTTTATTGAAAATTACTACAGTTTGTCTGTGTTTTTTTTTTAATGTTATAATTTATCTAGTATTATTTATTATTATCTAGTATTATTTATTTTAGACAATGTATATATATATATATATATATATATATATATATATATATATATATATATATATATATATATATATATATATATATATATATATATATATATATATATATATATATATATATATATATATTGTTGTTTTCATTAGTTGATAATAATCAACTCTTTTTCGATTTGAGAGTGATCAATATAAAGTGAAATAATCACAAAATAGATTAATAAATAAATAAATAAAAAGTTAGATGTGAGAAAACAACTTTTTTACGGTATTTAAAGTTTCATGCCGTTTTCGGCACTCATCAGCCATATATTAAAATCATGAAAAAACCGTTCAAAAATACAATTAAAAAACCGTTACAAAATTCAAAAAAAAACAATGGAATGAGTTCTGACGTCAAATAATTATAATACAAATAATAGCAATAATAATAATAATGACAATAACAATAATAATAATAATAGCAATAATAGCAATAATAATAACAACAATAATAATAACAATAATAATAATATTATGGAAAAAACATCTTTTCTAATCGCCAGTGTCAAATTGAGAAAGGAGGAATCTGTTTCTATGTCTGCACTTAGAAACAATCTCACTCCTTTTATTTAGTAGATTAGTATTTTTATAATTTAGGATTTCATATTTTTTGGTGAGACATAATTTACAAGATTTGGATGTAGGATTATATGTTTTACATCGCCTGAGAATTTTCCACTTAACTATAGGAACTAAATTGGCTTCTTTTATTTTCCATACCTGCTTTGACAGCTCAGTATCATTTTTGTATTTTGGGATGTTAAAAGATTTAACGTGGTTAGCGTATCTCAATTTAAAAGAAGTCTCACTTACACCGATGTAGGATTTTTCGTTAGGAGATGAATCACTAGTGGTGGTTACAGTTGATTGGTATACAATATTGCTTGTTAAACAATTATTGGACAACGGGCAGAAATTTTTAAATGCTTAATATATATATATATATATATATATATATATATATATATATATATATATATATATATATATATATATATATATATATATATATATATATATATATATATATATATATAAAAAGCTAAACAAATCATGCTTATTTTTGCTAAAAAAAAAATATTTAAAAAATACTAATTTATGAAAATAGAATACATTGCTTAAACAATAGTGTTGTAGGTGGCGAGTATGGGCATATTTTGTGTTGCCACTCTAGGCCAAAGTCAGTCACTTCATTTAATGGTTTAAAAAAATTTAAAATGTGTCATTTAATGACACATTTAAAATTTTTACTCCTAAAGCCATTGAAGCATAGTATCATTAAATAAATAAATATATATATATATATATATATATATATATATATATATATATATATATATATATATATATATATATATATATATATATACATAAAACTTTAGCAATCAAGGAGATTGTAGCACAAGCTGAACCAGTTTTATCAAACATTGAAATTGAGGTAGAGATCAAGGTATATTTTCTTTTTTTAGTTTAACAAGTTTTATGTAAACTTGTCTATTGTTTCTATTTTTATGTGAAAGATTTTATTGTTGCCAAAATAGGTATTTTTTAGTTAATGACACTATTTTTTTTTTCGAAATTTTTCCGTTAACTATAGTTAACTGTATAAGAGATCAAATTTGGAAAAGCTGTACCATCTGTTGTTGTATTGAGCATCCTGAACTGAAATCTAATTTACCATCAAATATTCGAACAAAT